CTGGCTTGTACATGGTATATAAACTGCAAACAAGAATGAGATCCTTTTTCTAAAAGTGACAGTGATAGGACTACATCTTTGAATTCTGTGGTATTGATTACAAGTTATCTGAAGCCTAAGGAAAGCTCTCTGTTTATCTTAGTTCAGTGAAAGTTAGTTATATAACAGGCTGCCTTGGGGTTCTCCTAAGGTAATTTTAACCTGAGGGTAGAAATGTTTTCTGGGATGAAAAAATATTTACATCTTTTTGAGAGTTACCCATATTGCCACCCCATGGACATAGTTTTGATATTTGGTTGGGTTTTTTTGTCTAGACCCTCTCCTTCTGCAGTGTGTTTATACATTGTTTGGGGTAATGTTTTTACCACGAGTGTCAGTGACTAAGGGCATCGTTGCACATGATCTCATGCTATGATTCATACTTGGCCTAAGAGAATAAATCAGGCTGCCACCTTTCTTCAAACATAAGTCTTTGGTGCTTGGTACTTACTCAGTAATAGAGATTTTTCTCCCTTAAAGGGAACAGGTTAAATTTTTTTATTTTTTATTTTAATCCTCACCTGAGGATAGTTTTCCCATTGCTTTTCAGAGAGAGTGGAAGGGGGAGAGAGAGAGAGAGACATTGATGTGAGAGAGACATATCAATTGGTTGCCTCTGGCACTCGCCCTGACCTGTGCCAGGGGTGGAGCCTGCAACCAAGGTACGTACCCTTGGCCAGAATTGAACCTGGGAACTCTTCAGTCTGCAGGCCGTGCTTTAACTGCTGAGCTGGAACAGGTTAATTTGAAGAGCGGAGCTGTTAAGGGAAGTCTGAAAGCAAATACTTAACTATGACTCAGTTTACTTTTTCCATATTATTTGAAATGCTGCTTCCAAGTGTGTAGTACAAATGGGGATTATAGTTTCTTATAGGATCATGGTCTTTCAAAGATGCAGGGGACCTTTGGTCTGGTTCTTGACTGCTGCTTTAACATCCCTGCCAAGCAATCTTACGTTTTCTGCTTGAACATGTATCGGATCAGGAAGCTTACTCTCCACTGATGTACCCATCTCTGGACAGGCAACCACTAAAAGGCTCCACTTTATGTTAAGCTGATCCAAATTCCCTATCCTTTTACCTGTCAGCCCTAATTTATGCTTTGGATCCTTTGATGTGGGATTACTTCCAAGTTCTTCCTGTTGTCAAAATGATTTCCTAAACAGGAGAGAGAACATTCTCTAGAATATTTCTCTTTTTGTGCTTAAAAAAGTAAATATAAACACTTTAAAAATTTTGAGGAAAAGTAATCAGAAGTTGACTCCTGGCTGTTTAGCTGCTGACTATGCTCTCTCTTGAACCTCATTTTGATCTGAATTTCATCATTCTCTTCTTCCCTGTCATTTAGCGTGGCCCCCCAGAGTGCCCATGCTGCATTTGACAAAGCAGCCCATTATTTTGGGATGAGGATTATACGCGTCCCACTGAACAAAATGATGGAGGTGGATGTTCGGGTGAGTTCCTCTGAAGGGCCATTGTCTGCCCTGGGCTGCGAGGGGCAGGACATGTACCCGCTTGACTGCTTTGTTGCAGTATCACACGCAGATGGGCTCAAAATGCCTTTGATTGTAGCAGCCAGAGCCACAAAAACTTCCACTGGCAGTGCTTAGTGGTTGCAGCTTCAGTGTTTTCACAGATTCATCTGTTCTAATGGGAAGATGAATCTAGTCCCTAACTTTAAAGACCTGGGTTTTTTTTCAGCACCGTCACTTTCTGCTCTCTGTAAAATAATCATGGTCTAACTTGCCCCAGGACTCTCACTCTTGTGTTTTTAAAATATATATTTTTAATCCTCACCCAAGGATATGTTTTTGATTTTAGAAAGGGAGAAACATCAATGTGAGAAACACAGATTGGTTGCCTCCTGAACTCACTCTGACCGGAGATAGAACCCTCAGCCTGGGCATGCGCCCTGACTGGGAATAGAACCTGCAGCCTTTTGGTGCACAGGATGACGCTCCAAGCAGCTGAGCCACCCGGCAGGTCATCACTGTGGTTTCAGTTGGCCTGAGTTAGCACCACTGCCATTTGAAAGTAATGATTTTCTTTCATAAGTAAACTATTGTAACTTGTTAGCACTAACATTATCCCCCCTTTATTAAGGCATTAATGGACAATTGACAAATTAAAAATTGTATATATTTAAGGTATACAACTTAATGTTTTGGTATAAGTATACACTGTGAAGTAATCAACACAATCAAGCTTTTAGCATTTTCATCACCTCACATAGTTAACATTTTCATTTTTTTTCATGGTTAGACTACTTAAGACTACCCTCTAGATCTCTAAGCAAATTTCAAGTATACAAATTTCAGAGAGAGGAGGGGAGAGGGAGAGAGAGACAGAAACATCAATGATGAGAGAGAGTCATTGATCAACTGCCTCCTGCATGCTCCCCCCTGGGGATCGAGCCTGTAACCCGGGCGTGTGCCCTAACCAGGAATTGAACCACAATCTCCTGGGTCATAGGTCGATGCTCAACTGCTGAGACATGCCGGCCAGACCAAGTTCAAATTTTTTAGATTCCACATATATGTAAGATCATATAATATTTGTCTTTCTGTCCCTGGCTTATTTAAGTTAGCCTAGTGTCCTCCAGGGTCATCCATGTGGTCACAAATGGCAGGACTTCTTTCCTTTTAAGGCTGAATAATACTCCTTTTGTAATTAATTGTATGCTTTGCATTTGTATAGAACTTCCCATGTTCAGAGTGCTATCGGAATTGCATTGTGGCCTTATGACAGCCCAGGGAGGTCGTAGAAGCTGTTAATATTATTACAGTTCACAGATGAGGACGCAGACTGGGTAGACTGAAGTAGTTTACACCAGGTTTCCCTGCTAGTAGATGGCTCTTTTGCCTCTTAGCCCAGTATTCTTTTCACCCTCACAGTGATTTTGCTGTTTTTGTATTGTGCTCTCAGATTCTTTTCCCCAAATGGACCCATCCGACCTCGTTTGAATTCTGCTACTATGGTGGGAGGTGGGCTTCTCCCGGGTTGGAGAGGTGAAGGATGGGGCAGTAGCAGACTGAAACTCTTAAGTTCATAGCCTAGATTAATCTTGAAAGTGGAACAGGAGAGTAACAGACATGGATGCTCATTTTCTTTTCCATGTGTAACCCTAGGCAATGAGAAGAGCCATCTCCAGGAACACTGCCATGCTTGCCTGTTCTACCCCTCAGTTTCCTCACGGTGTGATAGATCCTGTCCCTGAAGTGGCCAAGGTATGTGAGAAAAATGGACTATGAGGCAGTGAAACAGATTTTAAAATAGAATCTCACGGTACAGTACTTGGCAAGTGGAAGTGATTTGGAGTTTAGATTTTAGCACAGTAGTGCTGAGTATCTCTCATCAGCTCTGTGGTAAGCCCTGCAGCTCTATTTGGAGCCTCTGCAAGTTACTGGCTTCTGCTGTGGGGGAGGGATAATAGAAGGAAGAAGCCTTTGTTTAAATGGGATATTTGGAAGTAGAACTAACATTTCAGTTCAGATCAGGAAATGATCTACATTTAGGAGCATGCCTACCAGAGGGTGGTATTCAGCAGGATGCTCCATAGCACCGCCTCCCTCCTTCCTCACGTGGCAGTTACTAAGCAGGACCTTTACCGCTCCAGAGGCGGCCTGGATCCCAGTGCTACTCATTTTCTGAATGATTTTGCAGTGAGTTTGAGGCCCTGCAAATTTAAATGTAAAATAAACACCACATTTCAGATGAATTATTCTGTAGGCTAAATACATTTGAAAGATGAGCTTTTTTATTAGGAATGTCAGAAATAGCCAGTTTTTTTAAAACATGGGAGATACAGTACACAATGGCCTTGTGGTTACTGCCCACTTTTCCACCCATGTCTTGCAAAATTTTTGTTATAGGGCTATAGATGAAATTCTCTTATGGTCTTTGTTTTTTGGAACCAGCTGGCTGTCAAATACAAAATACCTCTTCATGTAGACGCTTGTCTGGGGGGCTTCCTCATCGTCTTTATGGAGAAAGCAGGATACCCACTGGAACAGCCATTTGATTTCCGAGTGAAAGGTGTGACCAGCATTTCAGCGGATACCCATAAGGTGAGCTAGGGAAGGGACCAGATGTTAATCAAAGTAGACAGTTGATTATTTTGACTATTATCAACAAAATAAATTGATGAAAGCATTAGCTTTCCCCCAAAATGTAAAATTAAACCTGGCTCTTTGCTTTCACCGGGGCAGCTGATTCAGGTGACAAGGTGTAGTGATAGAGGTGACAAGCAATATGGAAAAGAACCTATTATCTTTGTGTCTTATGGCTGAGAGAATTCCTATAACTGGGACATGTTAGTGTAGTGGCTCTTACAAAAGAGTTCCCTGAAGCCTTGAGATTATTTGGGTGGAGGGTGGAGGTGAGGTTGATTTTGGAATTCCTGAGAGGAGGTATGTGAATGCTGCAGCTCCCATCCTCCTGGGGCTCCTGCACCTGAGTGACAGGAGTGTGCTGAGGGGAGTCCTTTGGAAAAAGGGAAGAACTTAACATGTTCAGGAATGTTCGGCTTGTAATGTTTGAAACGTCCATGCCTGCCACCCCTCATGGACTGAGACAGTAGATCAGCTCATTGTAAAGCTGGATTAAGTAGCTTCTAGATTCTGAACACCATGATCTTGGAAAGGAAGTGCATACTAAGCAGAAAAGGATGGGCGAGAAGGGAGTCGGGTTGTGATTGTAGCTGCCCGAGTGACTTGGACTCCTGGCTTCCAATGGAAATTTATCTTTGTTTTCATCCTGACATACTGCCCTAGAATATTGTTTTAAATAAGGAAAACCACGTCCTGGGCGCGAGAGGGGAAGTAAACTGATTAGCAAGACCAGACACTGTTCTTCCTGGGCCTCAGATTCCTCATCTCTAAAATAGAGAATTTCAACTCCATTCCTTTAGTTCCCTCTACCCTTTAACATTGTAAGTTTGAATTTTTAATGTGAGTGAGACACATCATAGAGAGTGTGAGGGAGAAATTGGCGTGATCAGCGTTCCAGCATGCCATGCAGAACTGTACATTCACATGTCTGCTTCTCCCCCTCAGTATGGCTACGCCCCCAAAGGCTCTTCAGTGGTGTTATACAGTGACAAGAAGTACAGGAGCTATCAGTTCTTCGTTGATCCAGATTGGCAGGGTGGCATCTATGCTTCCCCAACCATCGCAGGCTCGCGGCCTGGTGGCATTAGTGCAGCCTGCTGGGCCGCCTTGATGCACTTCGGTGAGAGCGGCTATGTTGAAGCTACCAAACAGATCATCAAAACTGCTCGCTTCCTCAAGTCAGAGTATGTGGAAGATTGGGATTCTGCCTTGTCTCTTGCTTTGTCTGCTAGTGGGCTCAAGTCATCTGCCTGGCCAAGCACCTATAGCCCCAGCCCATTTGCTGTCTTCCTGAGAGACCAAGGGTTTAGGACAGCAGCTTAGGAGTGTGGTGCTGGCCTGGGACGATAAGTTCCCTTGCTCTGCTGTGGCTGGGAGTGTCAGATCAGGGCTTCATCTAGGCCATCTTGTTTCCAAGGATGTCTTTAACAACGGGCAGCTCTTACCAAGTGCTGGGGGACAGTTCAATGGTTAAGACAAGATAGTGGTTCTGAAATTTGAGTATGCATCCTGATCACCTGGAGAGCTTGTTAAAATGCAGATTGCTGGGCTCTGCTCCTAGAATTCTGATTCAATAGATAGGGAATGGGGGTCTGAGGATTTGCATTTCTAGGAAGTTCCCAGTGGATACTGATACTGCTGGTCTAGGAATTACACCTGGAGAATTACTGGAATAAGAAAAGAATTGGAGAAGGAATAGGGAAGGGTGGTGATGAAATCTTGGGTTAAGCTAAGGTAGAACTAAGCTGTGTGCTTTTTTGAGCATATCTGTTCCCATATTGCCTGCCTGTCTCTCTATGTGTCACCGGGGGTTGGGGAGGCTTTCTCAGAATCTTGAGGGTGAATGAAAGTGGCCTGTGGGCATGTCTCATTTGAAAAAGGCCCACATATGGTTCTGATATACCCGTCTGTTGAGAACTGCCATACTAGTTCTTGCTTTAGAGATTACATAACATGACTTTTTTAAGTGGGGGGGGGGTGGAGGGATTATTTTTCCAGGATTTTTTTAAAGTGTATTCCCCTGGGGTGATACCATAATTTGGAAGTTGAGCAGACTAGTGAGGAGCCAGTGATTCTGATTCATTGCATCTAGAAGGGATTTGGGCCTTTGAATATTTGTAATGTTTAGGAATCACTGATCTCAGTCTAGATTAGATGCCTTACTTTACAAGATGAGAGAACTAAAGCCCAAAAGATTATATTATAAGGGAGATGTTGGGTGATTAAAGAGATGAAGACCAGAGGACCAGATGTGGCTGAATTTTCTTTTTATTCCTTTTTTTGTTTTAAGACTGGAAAATATCAAAGGCATCTTTGTTTTTGGGGATCCTCAGTTGTCAGTCATTGCTCTGGGCTCCCATGATTTTGACATCTACCGACTATTTAACCTGATGACTGCTAAGGGGTGGAACTTGAACCAGCTGCAGTTCCCATCCAGGTAAATCTGAAGAAGCCTTGTTCCCCTTCTTTGCTCTGTGACTTTTGAAGAACTTGGGTAGCAAGATGACCAGAAGTATAAAGAGCCCAGCTGTAGTGGCAACTGTAGTATCTAGGATTTCTGTCTTACCACCTGGAGTTAATATCAAAACAAGACCATTATCTTTAAATTCTGGCAAAATTAGGTGGCATCCTCTTCAAGTCAGGGGTAGGTTCATAAGATCCCCACCTCCGCTGTCTTTCTATACACTCAGATCTGTCTTATACACAGTCATCAGATTGCTCTTATAAACTGACTTGTAACCTGAGTAATATTTAGCTCAAAACCTTTCAGAGGGCTTCTAATCATTCAGGCCTGCTATTGTCTTCTTTAATGTGCTTTTCTAACCTCATCTTCCATGATGCTTTAAATCAACACTCCACCCCAACAGAATAGGTCTCTTCAGTGTCCTCCATGTACTCCTGAACCTTTCACAGGTTAGCACCATTGCCAATCCCATTTGGACTCTGCCTTTTCTCTTCACAATCCCTCTGGTCCCCAGTCTCCCTCTGGGGGAGCTAAAGCTAGTTTGCCATGACATCCTTCAAGACCCCAGCCTATGTGTGGCACTGTCCCCATGAGGGTTTATCATCTAAGTAAGAGATAAGGCATCCCGTTGGTGGTCACATGGCTGAAGGACTAGCGGTGGACAGTTTCTGAGGGGAAGGGTGGGACAGAACAGCCACTGTCTTCATTCTATAGGGTGGCCCTTGATCAGGCCGAGAAACCCTCCTGCCAGCCCGTGCTTGACAACCCATGTATTTGAGAGCCCTGGTTCCCAGGCCTGGTAATAGCATGGATGACTTGTCACAAATAACATGAAGGAGCATGTTATTTCTGTATTTGGGGCTGCTTTATTGTAGAACTTTTTTCCCAGGCTCATCTCTCTCCGTCTCTTTCTTCTCCCATAGTATTCATTTCTGCGTCACGTTAGTGCATACCCGCAAGCGAGTAGCCATACAGTTCCTGAAGGACGTCCGAGAATCTGTCACTCAGATCATGAAGAATCCTAAAGCAAAGGCCACAGGAATGGTAGGGACACGGGACTTTTTCTTCTCTGGTAGTTTAGGTGTTGCGAGGGAGGGGCTGAAAGAACCAGATGACCTCGAGTCTGTTTTTGCCCCTGCCCCTTATCCACAAACCTGTTTCCTTATTCATTGTAGCTGATGACCTCTGCCTCACATCCCAGGGTTTGTTAGTCTCCACTGAGACATACTGTATTTAAAGCACCTTGTAAATTTGGAAGTACTGCATACAGAGGCAGGTAGTGGTAGTGTCCATTTGCAAAGAAAAACTTGACACAGGAAAGGCAATAAACCAATTTTCTCTGGAATTTCCTACAGAAAATCTCACAGGATAGTTCCTTTGGGCAGAAAGGCAGACAACTAGCAAGTACCTGGGAGAAATTTATTGTGCCAGCTGTCTTTCTGACAGACTGGAGCCTGGGGTGGGGATGGAGTGAGGGAGAGGAGGGCAAGGACCGGGGAGGAGATCACAACCATTTCTCATCGTCACTAATAACAATTCTTTGACTGGATTTGTAGGGCGCGATCTATGGCATGGCCCAGACCACCATCGACAGGAACCAGGTAGCAGAACTGTCCTCGATCTTCCTGGACAGCCTTTTCAGCACAGACACTGTACCTCAGGGCAGCCAGATGAATGGTTCTCCAAAACCCCGCTGAGCCCGGAGGGGCTTCTGGCCCTCAGAAGGCTCTGGGGTGTGGAACAGGCCACACGCAGTTTCCACATCTGGTCTCGCTCCATAGCGCACAAGACAGACGGGACAGCTCGACCCTCAGGATTCATGTTCCTCCTCTTGTCACCCTTTTGTGGGTTTAATGTGAAGACCCCTAAGGATTCCATTACATAATTTTGCCCTTGTTCTAAATATTAACTAGGAATTGTTTTAACCATTTCCTCCCTAACCTCTCAGCTTTTACCTTCACTTAATCATTGTGTGGCAGCTCTGACCTGTCCTGATTCCTTGGAGAAGCTGGGGTACAGTTTATGGGGTAGAAAAAGGTTTTTTGTCATCTCAGGTAAATTGGCTTAGTCAAGTGGGATGCACTCATGTAACAGAAGTTTCCCGGGTGGCTGTTAGGTAGCTCTAAGCAGGAGGCCCTTTAAGCCCTGCTCTTCGAGTGGGTTGGTTGTCTCAGAGTTACTTTTCCTGAAACTTGTATTTTTCCAGGACACAGATTGACCAGGATAGGAGCGGTCAGTCTGCCAGGACGGCATGTGGAGTGGCACATTGTCCTCTTCTGATGTGTAGTCCCCATTTGATACCTAGTTCCCACCGTCTCTAGAGATTCTTATTTGAAATAATGCTGCCACTGGTTTGTTCTTAGACTAGGAAGAGAATGCAATTCCCAGAGACTCTAGGACTTTCTGGTCTTGGAGCTGTCTCTCTGAATTGGCAGTTTTCAGAGCACACTCGAGCCCTCTCCTGGGCTGGAGATGACCAGAAACCAGACCCTTTTCTATACTTTTCTGAGTATCTGGGTAGGATGAGCACCCAAATTCAAATATATGTCACCAAAGTTGGTGGTGTCCCCCACTTTCACTGCTCTAAGCCATCGTGTGTGAGGACATGTTTGCCAGGAGGAGCAGCTCAAAGCGTCTTCACCAGTTGCCTTGATTTACCCTAAGTGATGCAGGGAGGGCGCGAGAGGGCCCAAAGGAAGGAAAAGTTCTCTCTCCCCTAGTGTGTTCTTCCAGCCTCTTTCCTCTTTATTCAGCTCCCAAAGGTACTATGGCAATTTCGCCTCAGGTACTAGATACTTCTCAGCCCTGGCTAGGAAGAGATAAACATTTGGAATAGGAAAATATGATGGGGTCAGTTGTAGCCTAGGGCCTGGGATTTCTTCTTATGACTAGTTGCTCAGGATGGTGCAGGGACAGGACCAAACCCTGTGCCCATTTTCTACCTTTTTCTGCCCTGCAAGGGGCCTGGATCTAGGCTGAGCCACTGTCCTACCCTAATGACAACATATTGTATGTGTGCCTTTTTCCTCAGCGGGAAGCAGTGGTAGGCTATGCCTAACCCAGGCCCTGGGGGGCGGGGGATCAGTCTTTGAGGTTTTATTTGGGTAGGGGAGTACTTAGGATAAGTCAGGAGAAACTCCTCTGTTCCATTACCCTTCTCAGGGACTCCTGAAGATTTGGCCTCTTCAGGCTGGTATCCTCTTGCCTCCCTCACTGGGTATGCTGGCCAGGAGAGCCAACACGACCATTTCCCCAAGCTCCTTACCACGTTTGTCTGAAATGTTCTTTAGCACTGTACTTCCTACACAAAACTGTGATTGGCCATGTCATTGCAGGGCTGCTGTGTGTGTGTGTGTGTGTGTGTGTGTGTGTGAGAGAGAGAGAGAGAGAGAGAGAGAGAGAGAGATAGGGAGAGGCTGAGGTCCTTTGGACCTGGAAGTTATGTTCCCTCCGGTTGCTGAACTGGTGGGCACCTCCTGAGCTAGGAGGTGTAGTCAGCGCTCTGCGTGAATTATCTTTTGTGTCTCCACTGCATTCATTATGTTGGACGAAGTCCAGGGACCCAGCACTACCCAGCAGGCACCACTGTGGCTTGTCAGCTGCTAAAATGGAGAAGCATGTGTTGCTTCCAGTGTCTCCCTAGGACTGTCCCCTGTGCTGTGACAACATTGCTTCGGGGGGTGGATGGGAGTCGTGGGCTGTTTTTCAAAGGGACCTACTATAGCCACTTTATGTTTACTAGCTTTAGTTTAACATAACATTTGTGGGCTTTCCATTCTGTGTGTATGTATCTGCATATAGTAACACCAAGTCTGGCAAAGGTGGGTGGAATGTCTTAGTGATATCATGTTGTTAGCAGGTGTCACACTGACCTCTGCAAAAACTGTACTGTCTTGTTTCGCATTAGAGTGAATAGTCATGTGACTGTACTGCCATGTCACTTTTAATATTACCAGTTTTATACTTGGAAAATGGTACTTGCCTTCTTTAAATCTTTTCTGTCTTTAACCTCCCCCTTCCCATCTCAAGGCTCTCTTCCTAATTACAGCAATAATCTCTTAAAAAGCAATTAAGTAATTAAATGTCCCAAATCTTAATTGTTGTGGATGGTTGCATTCATTTGTTTATTTAGGTGCACATGTGTCATTCCAGATGTATTGTTGACAGCTCTTGAACTAGCTGCTGGTGAGCGATCGCCCCCTTGTGGTGAAATGGTTGTGTGTGACCACTGATAAGAGGGCAAATAGATATGAGTGGGTGAGCAGCACTCAATTCCCAGCACTTTCATGGCTCCACTAGGAGTGATTGACATACCTGTTTTAAGGAGGTCTGGAACTCAGGTCTTTAGTTCCCCAGGACCAGGGTCCTGCCTTATGCTGTCTTTCATCTTCATCATCGACTTCTGCTTATACCTTAATGATGAGTTGAGCCATCTGGGGTAGTGTCCGGCCAGCTGGGCAGTGTGGCTCTGTCTAACCAAAGGACACTGACTTCAAGCCCTGCATTTGGATTGGGAACTGATAGAATCTCTGATTAACTTTGCACTTGCAACTGCTGAGTGTCTTATTCCATTATGACTAACAAGTGAAAAGCCTTTCCAAAGGGTTATTCAGGTTCCAAAAGCTCTCATTCAGGTAACCAAGCTTTTCATCTGGCTCTGTCCATTCAGACTTTGCTAGAATTAAGTTGAGGAATGTGACCTTTGCTACAGTTTTCTGCCAGATGACTTGGCTCCCTGAGCACCTGCTTGCTTCGGGGTAAACACTAGAGAAAGAGGGGCTAGGATGTGCTTTGATAGACGTGGCCCATCTTAAGAAATGGTGTCTGGATGCTAGCCCCTTTGCCTTCTCTATGGGCTCTTGGTAGCAATGATCCACTTATAGCTAGACCCAGTGGTAACAGAAGTACTGGCAGAGGCCTATTTTAGAGCCACCACCTACAGCCTGGGGGAGCCAAAGTGAGGTGTTTGAGAGCCTTTTCTTGATTTGGAATCTAAATTGCTTTCGTTTTTCTTGTGCTCCCTTTATTATCACTTCTCTTTAACTCCATCCCCTATCATTTCAATTGTTTGAATAATTTTAGAATAAACATTTATTTCTAAAAAGTGTTGCTTGTGTCTTTGTCCCACATAAAAGTGCCTCATACAACTGTAGTGTTCTCTGAGTTGGTGTTTTCGACCCTTGATCCATGAGCATAAGCAGAGGCAGGAAGATGACACAACACAGTGTTATATGGCTTCTGTCCCCTAACCCACAGTCATCAGGTTGAAGTGCACTTAGAAACACTGAAGTCAGAGTGGAGCAGATGGGGGACCACTGTGTGAACCTTGTTGGTTCTGATATTAGGCTTTGCTGAGAACTTGCTATTAACAAGGTATGATAATCCGCACTAGCACATAGGCTGGGAAGGGGACCGTGCCAGTCCCTCTTACCAATGAGATGCTTATTTCTCACCCACCAACCTCTGCCTCTTCTGGCCTTTGTTGCAGAACCACCTCACCTAGGGTGACTGGGTTGTGACATTGCTAGATGCCTGTTCCAAGTGACCCTGGCATTTACAAGTCCATTTAGTACCCAGGCAGCCTCAGGTTAGGTGTCATAGGTGAGAACTCTTTTGTATAATGGCACACATGGAATGACAGCCATGGGGCATGTACACGGGGTGGAGATGACACTGCTCTTGGCACCCCCTTCTCCCAGTCCTGGCACATCAGAATGTTTTGTCCTAGAGAGTTACTTGCTGGGTTGGAGGACCGATCTGCGAATCAGCTTCTTAACTCTCAGATGGCAAATAGCTTGTCATCTCCTAAGCTGTAGCTTTTGTCGCAGGTCTTGGCACGCGTGTAATGCAGGAACCATTATCTCTGTTCACGATCAGCCTTCTCTGCCTCAAGAATCTGGTCTTGATTCAGGTCTTTCAGGCACAACCCAAAAGGAAACTCCAGATTCACCCTTGTTAGCCACTTCCTGTTCTCTTAGCTCTTTCCTATCCTTGCATCTAGTGTTAATTCATCCTGCTTACAAATAGTTAACTGTTTTCCTGTTTCATTCCCCTAGATCTAGGGCCTCTATGACAATGAACTCCTTGAAGGCAGGGTGGTCTGGTTGAGTAAGTTCTTTAAATGTCTTCTGACTCCAATTTGGATTGACCAGTGGAAGAGAAGATTCTAGAGCCTAAGGCCAAGTGAAACAACAGTTTTATTTGAGGCATAAAAGCACACATAGGAGGTTTCTATCACATAGGAGAGGGTTGGCATTAGGGTTCTGGTTTCTAAGATAAGATTCTGTCTGTCTTAGACACAGCTTCTATCACAGCTTCTTGGGAAATGAATTAGAAAGGGCGCCTAGAAAGAAAGTCAATACTGTTGCTGGGAAGCTGTAAAGAATGGGAAGATCTTACTCAAATTAGTGCACATTTAATAGGGCCCCAGTGTTGAAGGGCATGGTGGGGGAAAACGGTCCAAATTCCTGGTGTTGGCAGTGATGCTGTCATCTCTTTCTAGCCAGGACTCACCCCTAAATGGAGGCAGCAGGGAAGACTTGGCAGTTTTGACTGCAGCAACATTTGGGGGCTCCCCTGTTCTCTCCAGATTCCAGTTCAGTCACCCTTTCCCTGAAGAATTCAGAGGAAAGGCAGGGTCTAGGTCATGGACACTGCTACTTGTTCGATGAAGCTGGCCAGATTTATGTCCCGTTCTGACAGGCCTGCACACTCATGGGTGCTCAGGGTGATGTGGACCTGAAACAAAGCCAGAGATTGGAACCAGCTGATTCCACGGACTTCACCGAAGAGCAGGAGAAAGCTGCTAGCTGTTGGGCTCAGCCACACTGAGCACCAGAGTACAGGCATACCTTGTTTCACTGTGCGTCACAGATGCTGTTTTTTACAGATTGACAATATGACCCTCCACCCGCAAAGAGATCACAACTCGCTAAAAGCTCAGGTGATAGCATTTTTTTAAGCAATAAAGTACTTTTAAATTAAGGTATGTACATTGTTTTTTTTTAGACATAATGCTACTGTACACTTAATAGACTACAATATAGTATAAACATAACTTATATATGCACTGAAACAAAAATTTGTGTGACTCGCTTTGTTGCTGTAGTATGGAAGGCAACCAGTTGATGTTTCTCTCCTTTCCCCTCTCTAAAATCAATAAGCATGTCCTTCAGTGAGGATTAAAAACAGAAGAAACTAAAGAACTCAAACTCCTACTAAACGCTGTCTATTTACAGATCATGTCTTTTAGCCTTAATAATTTTAGAAAGAGTCCAGGATAGCTCTTGGCACATGGCGGGCATTTAATGATTGTTTCAGTTCATTCAGCAGAAAACCCGATCTGTTCGCTGTGCATGGCTGTTCCTAGTTCAATTTTACTATTGCCACACCTCCAGAGAGACTGAAGCCTGCAGAGCTACGAACAATGAATACATCTGATGCCCACAGCCTGCCTGCCTTGGGTTTTGCCTTCTTGATGTCTACTTAATGTCTACTTTAACCACAAGTTATCTCACTGTTTTTAATTTGCATTTCTTTAGTTTGTAGTGAGGATATTTTCCAGGGGTGTTTATGTTGATTCTAGGAAGGAGATGGATGGAGCAGGAGTGGACATTCTCGGGGACTGTCCATAGGGAAGTCCAAGGAAGTCCAAGGAAGGTGGAGTTCTCAGAACTTGAACGCAGCCCAGCACAACGGGCACACATCACTCACCTTGTTGTACACGTTAAACCATTCAGGATGGTGGTCCAGTTTCTCAGCCTGCAGGGCCACTCTTGTCATAAAGCCAAAAGCCTATTTAGTGACGAGAGACCCAGGTTAGTGTTTTGAGAGACAGACTGCGGGGCACCTTTTCATGGTCAGTGTAAGGCCTCGATGCAGGAGGGCGGACAGGCTTCCTATAAGGAGTCCCCCTCTAGCTTTCATCATTCCCCCAGCATCTGAGGCTAGAGTTTGAGGGGTCTCTCTGCCTTAGGAAAAGTCTTGTTACTTAGATCACTAACAAGGTGGAAACACCGGAGAGGCGTTCAGTCTTGGCCAATCTTTTGTTTATCTAAAATGTCTTCAGATGTACTGTTTCTTACTTGACCTGTCCTTTAAGGGTTGGTTCATGGAGCCCGAGACTCATGTCTGCACTCTCCAGCTCACAAGGATGACACTTTCCGAGTAAGCTGCATTAGAGCAGTGTCTGAGAGTCTTGGCTAACAGGACTTTAAGGAAGAGGACAAGTGTGACCCCATCAGCCCCAGTCTCAAGAAAGCTCTGCCCCACCCTGGTGCCATACCCTGTTGAAGTCTTTGAAATGGAACTGCTTGCAGATGGCATCTCGGCCTTCTAGCTCGCTCCACCCCACAGCCCTCAGGTTTGGCAGCAGCTGGTCCCTCTCCTCAGCACTTAGCCTGTGTGCTTTGCCAGCCTAGGAGAGGAAAAAAACAGAGGCCCAGGGGCATTTCTTTGTATAGGACAAAGAGGGCCCAGACCTTTGGGGGAACTGAGCCAGCCTCCACTGGCTGCTCTGGACACAGGTGACAGCCAAAGGGCAGCTAGTCTAAAGCTATAGACTGGGAGGTGTGGAGGGTGGGGCCCTGCCCTGGAGGTGGGGCCCTGGCGGATGCAGTGATTAGGTTCTTAAATTTCACATTCCACTCAAAAGGACAGAAAATCCTGTGCTGGCAGGTGTGGCTCAGCAGTTAGAACATCGGCCTGAGCCCTGAAGGGTCGCAGGTTTGGTTTGATTGTCCGTCAAGGGCACGTCCTGGGTTGCAGGTTTAATCCCCAGCCCTGGTTGGGACGTGTGTGGGAGGCAACCAATTGCTATGTCTTTCTCATACTGATGTTTCTCTCCCCCCGCCCCCCCTTCCACTCTCTCTAAAAAAATCAATGGAAAAATCCTCTGGTGAGGATTAACAAACAAAAGGACAGAAAATCCAGTGTAACGCAAATCACATCGAACTAAGAACCGACCCCTGCAAAAAAAGTAAGTCTCTTAACTGATGAGGGAGTAAAAGCAAAACCGAACCCAGATGTGTGTATTACAGCACAACTTTTCAGAAAAACAGCTCCCCCTACTGTCCAACCTTCCCTTTTCAGTTACGGACCTTATGCAGTCTGCCTCCATGCCCCTACCCTTACTCACTGCCGGGTATATTAAAGAGGAAACTGAGGCCTAGAAAAGGGAAATGACCACCATACTTCCCCCAAGGCAGTGAGAGCACAGGCCCCGTTCCCAAAGGGGTTCTGTGTCTATGCGTTCCTGGGGCCGGCAAAGGGCCCAGCACTAAAGACACATTTCAGGTGGCTCTTAGCCACAGTGCAGTGGACAAGCACTGACACTGCCTCCCAGTGGGTCCACCATGACGCTCCCATGCAGCCTCTGGTTCCCCGGCCAGGGCGAGGATTCTCAGACTTCCACCGACCTTTCCTGTCAGCCTGAGCCACAGAGCTTGGTTAAAAGATGAGCCCAGCTGGCGTGGCTCAGCGGTTGAGCATCGACCTATGATCCAGGAGATCAAGGTTCGATTCCGGGTCAGGGCACATGCCCGGGTTCCATCCCCGCTGGGGGCGTGCAAGAGGCAGCCGATCAATGACTCTGATCATTGACGTTTCTCTCTCTCCCTTCCTCTCTCTGAAATAAAAAACATTAAAAAAAAAGTTGAAGTAACCTGGCCAAAGGCGACTGGCAAACCTAATGCCCCATCCGTGTATTTATCTATTGTGCAAAGTGCCCTCTGGGCAGCCCAAATTGGCACAGTTCAGGCTGTGAGTGGAACCCTCAGAGAACAGAAGGCAGCAAGTCAGCAAGTCAGTTCTGTCCTCTGGGAGGATCCAGGTCCAGGAGCTTAAGGGGTCCCAGAATTAGACTCTTGAAACAGAACTTCCCAAGGACAGAAACTGTAAAGTGCTAAATTAAAAATGAATCAAGGGGGTCTGGGGAGACAATGCCAGGGAGGTTAATGTACCATTTTATGAGGCAGCCCACAGACTGGAAGCCATGGGTTGAGTTAGCAGGACTGGTTCAGGCCCTAGTTCTGCGTTTCTTCAGCCAGGTAGCCCTGTGGCACTCATCTCCACTTTGCTTCACGGGTAAAAGGGGGCAAGCACTTCCACTTCACATCAGAAAGAGTCAATAGGACCCTTTAGTAAAATCTCTCGTTATTAAAGGAATGACACCTTCAATTTTAAAAGGAAACTTCCTGGGGCAAGTAGGCTTATGATGGGCCTTGCAGGTTTGGGTGGAATTGGAACAGTGCTCTGACAAGTCAATCTTTTTCTCCCTCCTGAAAACACGCACTCTCTCTGGACGATCTGACCTGGTCTGGCTCCCTCTAGGCTCCAGAGGCTATGGACGGTAGTAGAGATCTGCATCACATGCCCATCTCTGTTCCAGAGCTGGCCTTTCTCAGTGGCTGATAAGCCTGTTCCATGTATCTAGGCAACCGGATGACCAGATGCCACCCCAGATATCACAGCTCACTGTTTAGTTCTTCAGCTCTGAAAGGAGCGGGTGGGTACTAGTGAGCTCCTGGGAGGGCCCCCTTTCTCTTTAGAGTCTTCTGGAATCCCCCAAGATTCACAGTTCGAGGCTGACCTGACAAGTACCTCTGGGATCAAAGGGGGTAGGGGCCATGTTTACTTAGTAAATCCCAAATCAGGCCTGGCCTGGCCTCTGCCTCTGCTTCTGGGGGAGTGTGCCCAGGGGTTACTGATTACCCACGCCCTGCCTCTTGGAGGCCTCAGTGCAACTCACAGCCTCACCACCTCCCTTTCCTCCAAGCCATAGCCTTCAAAATGCCCTCCCAGGTATCCCTGCAGTCTGAACTGTTCCTAATGCTTTTGGGCCAGAAATGGGGTGTTTAGTAAAGCTTCTCAGGTCTAGAGGCTCCTCTCCTGGCTGCCCCCACGGCTCACCTTCACCTCACTAGCTGAGGGGTGGAGGGGCGAGGTGTGTGTGTGTCTGTGTGTGTGTAAGCACACCTGAGCACAGGGCCTGAGACCCTCCTGCGGGGGAAGCTCAGCATCGAGGACAGATGATCCTGAGCAATAGTTTGCGCTGCTGGGCAGGCCTCAAACTAGGCACCAGGGGCTGGCTTGGATGCCAGGGACAGCACAGGACACAGAGGGCTTTGCCAGCCCCTGTACCCAGAAGTGCAAGCCAGAAGGGCAGTAAACAGGCAGAAGAACTCACAAATTCAATCTCCCTCCTCACACTCACACACACAGGTGTGTCCCCATCCCCACCTCCAGTACAGAAGAGAACCTTGAACCAAAGGGGATGGTAAGGGCGGGCTCACTATGCTGTCCTTCCCCACCCAGGCCCTAGTCCCACCGCCCCACCTTTACCAGGGAGGTCACTAAGCCCCACCCAAGGGGGCACTGGCCTAGGAGCCAGGGACAGGCCTGGCTGTGACCTGGACCTGCCACCGCCCTCTCATGGCTTCAGCTTCCCCAGGAGCACCACCGGGGGTGGGGTGGGAGGGCGGCGGGGACCCCAGCTCTCCAAACCAGGCCCGTGGGAACCTGCCAGGGGCTCGGAGGACCCCTCTCCCGCCCTTCC